CAGAACCAGATTTTTCCAGAGCAACTCTCTGCTGGTGGCTCCATGCCGCCACATCAGCGTCGTGCTGACCCTCTGCCTGATGGTCCCCGTCTCGTTCAGCCTCTTCTCACCAGTAGGAACGGTGAGTTTCAGGCTCCTCTGATCCCATCTAATGCTTTCCATGTGACGACCCAGGCTGACTCCGGCTTCGTCTTACAGATAAAATGGGAGAACGTGGAGCAGGGGCTGCTACCCGGAGCGGTTGGCGAGGAGCTGATCTACCATAGAGGACTCTGAGGAGCTGCTGGGCAGCATCACTTCACCCAGAAACATCTCAGCCTATGAAATATTTAAATCATCAAACCAAGTCATGTTGATATTAACTTTATTTAATGTTATATCAGGTGTTGTTTTATACCAAACATAGTATTAAATCTTAAAAATACATTTGCTTTAATGTTACATGATTAGTGACACATAAACCTGCTCTCTCATTTGTAGAAATGAGGCACAAAAATAATCGGATGAGGCAAACAGCCAGGCTACACCAGCCATGATGAAGTCAATGTGGTGATTTAAGTGTGAACTAAAACCTGGCGATTCATCGATCAGGCTTTTCCGAGGGTTTTATTTTGTCATTGTACTTTAAACACTAAGAAACGCCATGCTTCAGGCTCTTTAGAGGTTACAATTTCCTCATCACCTTCCTCATCTGACGACGATTTTTATTGAGCGCACCTGTTAATATCGTAGCTTTTTTCAAGATTAACAAAACGGATTGAATATTTTCCACCTACTAGGTTGACAATATTTCCTTTCCAGTTCAACAGAAGATAAAAATAGAACAGAGCATCATCCATGCATCCATTTTCTGACACCCTTATTCCAGAGTGGGGTTGTGACGTTTAATGGCGTCTATCTCCAGCAATCAATGGACGAGAGGCGTGGTCCACCCTGGACAGGTCGCCAGTCCATCGCAGGGCAACAAAGAGACAAACAGGACAAACAACCATTCACGTACACACTAATGCCTAAGGAGAATCTAGAGAAGCCAATTAACGTAACACTTATGTATTCAGACTGTGGGAGGAAGCCAGAGTACCCAGAGAAAACCCACATGTGCTCAGGGAGAATGCAAACTCCATGCAGAAACAGAACAGAGCAAATAACCCGCTTGAAAAAGCGAGTCTGGATCACTATTTATTAGTGTTGCGCCGTTGCAATTTTTGGCCACGATACCGACCTGGCTGTGCAGTATCGGCCCATATCGATACCATCTGTTTGAAATTGATATATGTTTGGTGTATATATGAAGAACTGCAGACTACTTGGATGTAAAATAATTGCCATCATGGCTTTGTCAAGCTGCTGCCTACCTTTGTGAAGCAGGAAAAAGACTAAAACAAAGTGAATCCAGTAGAACTTTTTATTGCCTACCTGGAATGGATGACAATAGTTGAATAAACTTTTGGCTCTCAAAATGGTAACGGTGCCCTATTGGTTGGTACTCGCGACCCGGCTCTGGTATCGGTACACTACTATTCTTCTTAAATTCAGACCTATCATCTATTATCTGATAAACCGGATATAGAGCATCAGTTCAAAAATGTATAAAGGATCAAAAGGATCGCCCGTTTTAAAAAAACAACAAAGTCATGAATACCTGGAGAAAAAATCATTATTGGTTTTGTTCTGCATGTTACATTAAAGCTACAGTGTGTAATAATTTCAGGGATATACGGTCAGAAATGTAATATATTATACATAACTATGTTATTTATCATCATCTACGAGCTCAGCCTCTTAACCTTAATATTTGCGTTGCCTTAGAATTCGTTATTTATAATTACATAGGAGCGGGTCTCGCAGCCATGGAGGCAGACATCTTTGCGCTACGGCAGCGCAGAGCCAACAAACTAGCGATTGCGAGATCGCCCATTACGCTCGAAAGTAACTACGGCAAGTTGAGAGAGATGAACTGAGACGGTACTGAACAATAGATGGCAGTATTAAAATTATCTATGTAAACAAACCTCATCACTTGAGAAGGTAGGTGATTCCGACGTCGTGGAAGACATTTTGTCCCGTAACGCTCGCCGTACTGTTGGGGGGGAGAAGCGGTGGGGGGGAGATGTTCATGTCGCTGAAAATTACACACTGTAGCTTTAAAGGAAAAGTCTGGTCATATTCAGAATTCAATCTGCTTCTTAAATAGTATATAATAAGTGTTTTTAATTCAGAGTAATTTTCATTTTAATGTGCTTTACTGGAGGCATCCATGTTTGTCAAAGAACACTACTGCCACCTACTGGTTTGTGACGTCACAGTGCGGTATCGGCTGTTGATCAAGTCCCAGTGCTGTAACTGGTGTTTGTCACAACGCGCTATTATCCAAGTCATCTTGAAAACATTCTTCTTCCAAATGTTGGCTACATATTACGGGTTTTTTCTCTGGCCAGAAGTTCGATGGCAAATCCTCCCTCTTCAAGTTGGCAATCCAACGACCAACCCGTCCGTGGCGGATCATGAATCGGAAAGGTGAAATAACTCTTTTTTTCACTTTTACCCGATGTATTCCAGCATCCAGCTGCCATGCACGTGGGCATTGTCAGTTTCACTATAGCTCTGGTGAATTTCAATGGTGAAGTCCTCTGGAAATCTTCAATAATTGTTGTTGATTGCAGATGTGTCTAGTAGTTCCCATTGATTTAGCTTGTAAAGCGGGGAGAATGCGCTAGGCTTACCGCACCGTGACGTCACTGCTGGAAGATGGCAGAAGGGGTTACTATATTTATGCAAAAAATGTCCGCTTCCAGACTCAGTGATCAAGATGAAAAATGTTTTTATTTTTTTTACTGATTAATGCTAAATTCATTAAATCACTGCAAACCCAAGCTACAGCCTCTCTAGAGGGAGAGTATTTTATAACTTGAAAGAGCTGAACTGGAATTTTAAAGGCATACTATGCAACATTTTTCAGTTAATTAATGTGTTTCATAACGTTTTGGATGATTAAATGAGTCATTTCAGGTCGAACAAAGGTTTTCTCGGCCGCCCTGGTGGTCTGTAGGGGAAATACCGTACTTGCAATTGCAGGAGCCCTCGGCCCGCACCCACAGGCTCAGAAGTCTCGTGCATCGCGGGAGTCGGTCTTGCTTTACGGCGAGAACTTGGCTAACTACAATCTTTGTTATTTAGTCACATGCATAACAAATAATGTTTAAAAATGTGCTAAATTTTCAAACTCAAAAATTGGAACAAAATAGTCACTTACCGCAGTAGACATGGTGATTCGTTGCGTTCACCAGTCTGCTAAGCTCAAAACAACCGCGCCTGGCTTGACGGAGAAACCAGGAGAACAGCTGAGCATATTTACGACAGTGCACTTTTACTTTCGCCCTCTGGGGGGGGGGGGTCTCGCTGGAAAATCAACACCGGTTGCATAGTATACCTTTAAGTTTGTTGTTTCCAAAGGTTTAGTTTGGGGCAGAAACACTACAGAGCATCGCCGCAAAAAAAACTGAAATCGTTGGGATTCTGGTGGAAAGATGAGGAAGGGTTAATTTTCCAGCACCAGTGAGCCTAAAAATACAAACACTTAAAAAGCAATGGATCTACTTCCCGAAGACGACGGTGATGGATGTGGAAGGAATATCACCGAGATGTCAGATGCTGACAGCCTGTGACCAAAGAAGACAGAATGCTTTAATAACCTTTTAGTTTTATAGTCTGCTCACTCCTGCTGCCAGGTTTGGTGTAACACACTTTCCTCCAAACAGATTTATTGGTTTTCTGATTTAACTTTACAGGATCTACATCACATTAGCAGCAGAATCACGGTTAAATCAGCCAATCCTGATCATCTGAGCTTTTAGAAAACCAAGAAATGACCAACAACAGGGACGGTTTTAGTGAAATGTTGACCTGATCAGGAGGGAGAAACCACACGTTGTGTTACATTCATCGCAGCCATCAGACGAACAGAGGAGCTTCTTTTCACTAACTTAATTTGATGAGAAGAGCTCGTCACATGAGGATCAGAGGAAGGCTCTGATCTGTTAAACGGGCTGGAATTTTTAAAGGAATAGTACACCCAAAACATGATTAGCCTTCATTTTCTACTCACCCCCATGCTGAACAACACCCTGGAGTACTTTTTTGATATCTCAAATGCATCTGGAGATCTGGGAGGCTTCTTGCTGTCTGCTGACATTCAAATAATGGAGGTCTATGGCGCCCGAGGCAGAAAGGTCCATAAAAGTCCACAAAAAACGTGTCAATATTCCTCCATACTGCTCGTCCAATGTATTCCAAGTGTCCTGAGTGGGTAGCGTCCATAATTTACTCGAAACGAAGTCATTTAGAATGTTTTTAGAGCATAAACAGTAGTGTATAGGACTTCCTAGAAGCGCGTTCACGAGTCTACGGAAACCGCGGCAGACCAAACCAGATGAAAGTGCGCATTCAGCGTCTGCTCTGCCGATAATGCAAGCGTAGCAGAAGAAATGTGCTGTTTACCTGTGCAAAGAAAGAAACAACGAAAGAAAAATGTCTAAGGACTTCAGTGTTGAGGAAGAGCATGAGTTCTTTGCCGAGCTGAATGCGCACTTTCGTCTGGTTTGGTCTGCCGCGGTTTCCGTAGACTCGTGAACGCGCTTTCAGGAAATCCTATACACTACTGTTTATGCTCTAAAAACATTCTAAATGACTTCGTTTCGGGTAAATTATGGACGCTACCCACTCAGGACACTTGGAATACATTGGACGAGCAGTATGGAGGAATATTGACACGTTTTTTGTGGACTTTTATGGACCTTTCTGCCTTGGGCGCCATAGACCTCCATTATTTGAATGTCAGCAGACAGCAAGAAGCCTCCCAGATCTCCAGATGTATTTGAGATATCAAAAAAGTACTCCAGAGTGTTGTTCAGCATGGGGGTGAGTAGAAAATGAAGGCTAATCATGTTTTGGGTGTACTATTCCTTTAAGGATGGCTTCTATCTGCTCATTCCCACATACACTTTTATGAGTTTTACTTTTATTTGTTTATTTAAACCAATCGTTTTCCGGGTTTGGACGCTCATGATACAACAAACCACTTTAAACTGATCCAGTGAGTAATTATAGAGTTCAGAATTATACAAACAGGCTCAGAAACATGCATACATTCACTTAAATCTTGTGGAAGTGAAGTCCTAGATTGCCTTTATGCATGAAAGTTTCTCTGTTAGGCTTTAATCAGTCAAAGGAAACCAATTTAATAGAAGAGAGGTCAAATGTCTGGTTAGAATAGAACCTGGAGTTGGTTAATGCTATGAATAATCCTGTGGTTGAGGTGCAGCTTGCAGTAACTAAATAGTTGAGGAAATAAGTTTGCATGATGCATAATTATTCCACCCAGGAAGGATTTAAGTAAACGCCTCAAATCCCATAATAATATGATGCTGATGTCCATAATGGCTGGATGTCGGCTTCTCTATGACCAGCACCACCTACTGTTAATCCTAACATTGATCCTTTGCTCTCTTGTGCAAAAACTAAACACCCCCCACCCCCGGCTTAAACGTGTTCACCTGTGGTCACTTCAGAATACAAATGTTAACAATTGCGGTTCACTCTCTTGCTGCTCCTGATGTTTCCTCACCTTCAGATTATAACTAATGACAAAAAAAAAAGTTCATATTCGTAGGAGTTGTTCTGCTGCTGCCAGGTGAAAGAGGAAGTTCTCAGTGGCTGGAGGGAAATGATGCTGCTTTAAAACCTCCAGCGTGATTTTAGAGTCTTCGCACTCTTCGACCAGAGCGAACAGGCTGGTAAGGACTTCTTTAGTCTTGATGGAAATGTCCTGTGGATTCATTGGGATAGATTTAGAACCAAAGAGAAGGTGAGAGGGGAGCTGGTTCTGCGTGGGTTCTCACCTTAATGACTTGGCTGTCCGATCGCTCGGCGTCCTCTGCCGACTGGACGATGATGTGAGCAATTTCCTTGTGTAGCTTCCCCATCGCCATGGCCTCTGAGGTGAAATACGGAGTATTAATCTGAAGGCATCAGAGGAAGCTTGGAAATTCAGGAACATCGCTATGAATGCTGATGAAGATTCTCATTTATCCAGATCATTGTCATTCCATAAAAGTAAAAAAAAATAAAATCCACTGGACTTTGTTTCCAAGTTTGAAGACATTTCACTTCAATTCAATTTATTTCTATAGCGCCAACTCAAGGCACTTTATAATTCAACCAGATCATACAGTCAAATTGATTCAAAGTTTTCTATCTAAGGAAAACCAGTTAATTGCATCGACTCATTGACTCAAATACAATCCCTCACACTAAGCATGCGTGTAGTGACAGTGGAGAGGAAAAACTCCCTTTTAACAGGAAGAAACCTCCAGCAGAACCAGGCTCAGTGTGAGCGGCCATCAATCATTTGCCCACGACCACCTTAGGACGGCCGACTGAATTTCAAACATGCTTGATTTTCTCCCGACCTTACGATACCTGATCGGGAGATGGTCTTGAGAGGCTGATCGTCCCTCGTTACCGTCTGTACACTACATGATTTACGACACACGATCAGGCTGAAAGTCAGCCAAAAAAAATCATACACTGTGCCCGGCTTAAGATACTGCTGCTGTTTATTGTAAAAGGGCTGCAGCCCGTATTCTTGGTATGTCTGGATGTTTCTGTTCTAGCTGTGGTCCAGTATCTGTGATGTTTGTCCCTTGCACTGCACTTTTTCCTTCTACCAAACTTTCCTTAAACTCAGTCTCAGAACATCCAGCTTCTTTAACCGTGAAATTGTGCTTTCTACTCTCCATGCAGGTACAGGCTATAAAAATAAATCTGTATTTATTTACTTTTCACTGTATTTATATAATATTGGATTATTCTGAGACACAGTTTTTTTCTTCCTGGCTATAAACAATAATTAGAGATGTTGATATAAATAATACAGATTTCTACTTTGATCATGAGTTTTCCTCTGAACTGAAATCTTATTCATTAGAAATCTGCTGTGTCGTGGTTTCTCTTTGAACGCGGCTTACCTTTGGCTCCCTGGGACACAGTGATCTCACTATCTGGAAGGTTCACAAACACATCAAACAAATCCGATCTGTTGCTCACTTCCGGATCCACAAAGCCTGCGATGTATCCTGTGCAGAGAGCACAAACATCAGTGATGAATACTCCCTCCAATTAGATGATGCTACAGATGGGGGAACATCTGGGAGCCTGGAGATGTTTCCTGTTAATTAGAGAGAGCAGAAGGTGGTCTCACCGGGGCACTTCTTTAAGTCCTCCAGCTCAGCCTCAGTCAGATGCACATAAGGGTGCAGGATGGACCAGTCCTTTCTGTGCCACGTCAGAGCAGGCAGGACTCTGCTCACCAAGAGGATCCAGAATCAGCATCAGGACATCGTTCCTCTCAATAAAGAGAAAGTTAAACGTCTTGGATGTACCTGGTGAACTCCAACAATGCCTCGATCCGAGGATGATGAACCACGATCCTCTTCTTCAGCATCAGGGCGGTGTATAAGATGATGGTCTCCATCCCGAACTGAGACACCACATCTGAGACAGAGGAGGGGGCAGAAAACCCGGGTCACCAATACGTTCTCAGCATCAGGTGTCCAAATGACGCACTTATAAAACATCTACTGAAATTATGAGTCTTTAACAGAGGGGGGATTTTTTCTTTTTAATCAAACATCCATCTTCTCCTGCTTTTTCCTCCAGGTTCGCCAGTGCATATATCCAGTGTTCTGTCAGGTGGACATACCCCATCAGACCAGCATACCTATAGTCAATACGCATGCGCAAGACGTCAGATTTGCGTTTATCCCTTTAGGTTTGTACGGAAAATACTTTACACTACCTCAACGGGGGTGTATATACGGAAGAGGATTAGTGCCACTGAAAAAAAAAAAAAAAGTTAACTGATTTTTTTTATTTTATTTCAGTTTAACATGGGGAAAAAGTCAGAATTCTGACTTTTTTCTCAAAATTCTGACTTTTTTTCTCAGAATTCTGACTTTAATTTCAGAATCTTGGATCTTAATGTAGATGGGCACCATGAAGGAAGAGATGTGGAGCACTCAGCTTCACTGACAAAGATGTGAGTTGTTTGAGAGGGCCAGTGACACATTGGTGGAAAATGACGGAATAAGGCAACTTTTTACGTGCCAGAGGGGTCTCCTCATTAATGGAGGAGCAGAAGGTCATTAAAACAAGAGAGCTAGTCTCTAAAACAGACATGGCTATGGCTTGATGCTAACATGTTTGTTAGCTGTCAGAATTCTGAGGAAAAAAAGTCAGAATTGTGAGAAAAAAAAAGTCAGAATTGTGAGAAAAAAAAGTCAGAATTGTGAGAAAAAAAGTCAGAATTGTGAAGAAAAAAATCAGAATTCTGACTTTTTTCCCATAATAAACTGAAATAAAATTTAAAAATCAGTTAACTCTTTTTTTTCCAGTGGCCCTAATCCTCTTCCCTTTAGTTTTGTACAAAAAAAAATAAATCTAAGGTGAGCTCACCATACAAATCAAAAATCACCAAAAGGTGTGTAATCAAATAGATTTTTGTACATGACTAAAGGGATACACGCCCATTGAGGTAGTTTAAAGTTTAGTACCCTGAACAGGTTGCCAGTCTGTCGCAGGGCAACACAGAGACGCACAAAGACACACAACCATGCACACACACACTCACACCTAAGGACCTAAGAGAGAAGTCATGATTTTGGACTGTGGGAGGAAGCCAGAGCGCCTGGAGAGAACCCAGGCATGCACAGGTAGAACATGCGAACTCCATGCTGAAAGACCCCGGGCCGGGAATCGAACCTGGAACCTGCTACCCACTGCTGCACCGTGCATTTTTTTTTTGTCAACAAAGCTGAAAATGTATTAATGATTAATAGACAGTTTATTAATGCCTGAATCATTTCTAAACTGCATCTAAACCATCTGTAAAAGGTAAACAGATCAATTATTAAGCTATTAAGCCCATTAATGTTGGGGTAAGGGTAAGTCCAACATGACAAGGCAAGTTAAATTAAAAATAAAGGTTAGGTTCAGGTCTTTAATTCACTGATGTTAGGGCTAAACTAACGTAGCAGGGTGATATGATCTATTTATGTTTTATAAATGGTTTGGATGCGTTTTATAAATGATTATCAAACATTAATAAACTACCTGTTAATCATTAATAAATTATATTTATGATGGTTATTGTACTGTTACCCGGAATCTTATTTTTTTTCTTTTGTTAATATAAACAAACTTTTCCATTAAAGTTGATTATTTTCTGAGAGAAAACAGAACAGCCGACACAATGACGGTCTAACCTTTGACTGAACCGGCCAGGTACGCCTTTCTGACATCATAATCCCTGATGAGAAACGAGCCGTTTTCATCGTTCTGACAAATCCCCTTGGTGAGGACGGTGATGTAAGCCTCCATCATCTTCACTGGACTGCCATGTTTGATGTACATTCTGAAAAACAAATGTCACCGAACCATTACGTACTCAGAGCACTAAAAAAAAAAAAAAAAAAAGAGAGAGAAATGTATTTTCTAAGATGTTACCTGCAGAGTATTCTACTTAGAGCTGCATATTTCTCAGGGTTGAAGTCTTTCGCCGTTACACAAATGGAAAAATGGGTGACCTTTAAGCCGAGGAAAGACACAGACATCAGCGCATGTATTTTCAGTGATGTTACCAACCCGGGTGAGGCAGCTGGCTGCTTCCAGATCGGTACCTTTTTCAGTGCCGTCGGCTCCTGGACCTCCACTGTGCTGATGTAGTACCAGGTTCGGCTGAACTGGCCGAACACAAAGGTGTGGAAATCCCGGCCATCCTGTGTCAGGCAGCACTTCCTGAGCAGGAGTTGCCTCAGTTCAGCAGTGATGGAAGGATAACACCACACCCACAATGTGTCTCCATTAACATCTTTCTCTAGAGGGGAAAAATATGCATCAATAATAAATCACTCCAGACTTATGGTGTTAATATATAGCTTTTAAACTTCACATTAAGGCAGGGCATAGCTGAGAAGTGGAAGGAAATGTATACATATCTGACAGAACTTTAAAGAAATAAATGGAGTTATGAAAACTGTCATTTCCTTCAACTCTAAAATCAGCATGAATGATCTGTGACCCCAGATCTATGAGAGCTGCTCCTGCTGATGCAGCACATATGGGTCACACTGCTGTCATGTGATCGTCCAAAAGTCTTAAAGCGCCAAAATAAGATGTTTAAATTATTACACAACTTGTATACTAGAAGGAAATGAGCTGAATAATTAAAAGTGTACCAATCAATCCGACGCTCAACATCAGCTGCGTCTCAGTCGTTGCCATGTTCCATAGCAGTCAGAGACCACGGAAAGAGTTCAAGAGTTAACCACAGCCACAACACCACAGGTCTCCTAAAATCGAACACGGAGATACCGCGAGAGTTAAAAAAAGGAACAAATATACGAAAACGACTCTGGATATATCAGGAGGACCGAATAAGGTTAACGTAATTATTGTGTTAGGAGGAAATTCAGCTGTCAACTGAGTTTCTCCATCATCTCCCTGCAAAAACCTCTTCCGGGAGTGGACGACTGAAGGGGCGGAGCTTCGGTGCTCGCAGCCAATCAGATCTTGCCATTTGAAGCGCTGTAGATGCATTTAAGGTGAGCGGAATACAGAGCAACAGTGTATATTATATTATATTATATTATATTATATTATATTATATTATATTATATTATATTATATTATATTATATTATATTATATTATATTATATTATATTATATTATATTATATTATATTATATTATATTATATTATATTATATTATATTATAATATATTATATACACGGATATACACAAAAGCTGAAACGTTGTTTTTGAACAGAGTTCGGATTTCAGATACTATTGAGTGCATCATCGTGTAGAACATCCGGGTACTTTGCTCTCCCGGTGCTGCCAGGTTCGTTAAAAATCCCCGAAGTGAGAATATGTCATTTTAGAAGCTGCTCAAACACGTTAAATAATAATTTATGAACAAAGTGGTAGGAAATGATAGTTAAACAGACACTGGGTCATGACATGGCCAAATTATAGTATCGATTTCACTGTTTATTGTATTATACCAAAAATGGAACAGAAAAAGAATATATAGATGCTTTTACTTAAGAGATTAAAGAACAAACTGCTGCTAAAATAGTATAAGATTTTAATACTTACTTATGTTCTTATACATAGACTTAAAGACCAGTATTCAAAAAGTACCTCATCAATTTAGTACAAGTATTCAAGCAGCTATTCAATGTGACGAACAAGCTGCTTGTTACTTGATATCAGCAATTGGATAAACATTTGTTACTTTAATCAGAATTATTTTTGTTCCAAACCCTTTCTTAATTATTTACAATTTAAAATGTTTTCTCATTTTTTTTTTCAAAGTAAAAATTATATGGGAAATATATATTTAAAAAAAAGCAAGCGTTAATCAAAATAGCTCATATTTTTTCAAGAAAAACAACAAAAATTTGCAGAATTTAAAAGAACTAATAAATATGCTGCTCTATGGTCCACACAACCACAGAAAATTAAATCAGAGACACATTTTCTGATGTCTCATTTGAGTTTTTTTAAACTACTTCTGTATTTATATATTAATATGCTTTGCTTTGTCCTTTTTGAGTGTCCTGATAGCATCTTTATAGTGGTAAAACCTTATGTTACTAAAGAAACATCAGATATTTTTGGACTCCATGTTGCGCCCCAGAAAACCGTATTCAACTGTCCCATTAGCCATCATCTAATGTATATCAGGGATGTATATATAAATATAAAGTAAATATATACGTTTAATTTCAGATGAATACATTTTTACATGACAAGTAATTCTTAAATTTATCATTTTTAATGTATTGGTAAATATCTGGTAACATATTTACTATGCATTTTCCAATTTATGGTATATTCATAAATTAAATAAATAAATAAATAATACATCTATTTATTTCATGGTATATTTATTCACATTAATGAATTTTATTATATATTTTTGCCCTAAACCAGGATCATATCATATTAATTGTAGTTAATCTATTCTTTTTTTAAGCGAAAACATATGTCCATGTCTTGTAGATTTTTTAAAATCAAAGTACGCAGTTGATATTTCTTACATTTTTCGATAAACACACTATTTTATCACTTTATTGCTGATATAATTGAATTTCCCAGTTGTGGAACAATGAAGAATATTCATATTCTAAGTCAGTTATAAGTTTTCTATAATGCCTAAGGACGGTGTAGTTTTAGTTTTATACATTTTATTTGATATTGGCTTCAATTTCCAATTAAATTAATGAATTTTTATTATGCCACCAGAAAGGGGCCCTGACCTACAGGGTTTTGGAGGAGCCTCTGCATAAAAGGCAACGTTTAATGTTATTAACCTTCTCTTTGTAAATGTCTACAAACCAGTAATCGAGAAGCGTGTAACACATTTTAATTACCTGTAATAAATAATAAAAATATGACATCAACTAAGAAGTGAAAGAAGTCTGAATAGTGACTTGTCCTAAACGGGGGCTCGCATCGAATCTGGCAACCTTCCCGCGGTTGTTCACGAGGTTCTTCCTTTCAGCCAGCGCCGTCGCCGCGAGTGAGTGCGTGGCCTGGATGGACTGGTGAAGTCTCTTCCAGTTTTAACCAAGTCAGTCAGTTTTGGGTTACACTAGTATACCAGCAAGATGCCGGCGTATTTTCAGCGCCCAGAGAATGCTCTGAAACGAGCGAACGGTGAGTGTGAGGAGCTCCTCGAGTTAAAGCCGACTTCAGCCGCGTCACTACTGTGCGGCTCATGCCAATGCTAAAGCTAATGCTAGCTTTAGCATCAGCTAGGCCACACTTGTGGCCCTCACGGGGTTACCTCTTATTTACATCGCTGTATATCGACGTTTTTATAGATTTTCCACGGAAAAAAACGTTTTATTGGTCATTCTTTGTTGCGGTTGATCAGTTATTTGTCGATATCGCGAACTTTTGCTCTGTTTTCATTATGACCTAGCTTCATCTGTCAGTTAAAACATCTCCGTTTGACGGTTTTCCTGCATTTCTGTTCACGCAGCTAATCTTAATAACAGATATCCTTTTCTGCTCCAATATTGTTTAAATTTTCTGAGCATTTTTTAATTAAATTCTGTAGGAGTCCTCATCTAACATTGATTAAAAGTTCAATTAGATGTGTCTGTTTCCTGTGACAGTTTAAAGGATGTAAAACCTAATAAGAAAATGATCAGAATATTTGGCCTTAAGGTTCCCCACCTATAATATCATGCAGTATTATGTGCGGTTACATGTATTTGGTGGTTTCAGATTTATTTTTCAAACTTAAAGGAATAACTACCTGTTTAATAATAAAAAAAGGCAAAATCTGCAATAAAAAAAAATCGTATATTTTTGTTATATTTTTTTTATTACTGAGGCGCTTTGGATTGTTATTCTGCAGTGGTCACATGTAAACCCAGATATTTAGAAATGCTTTGAATTTAATCCTTGCTGTTTTTGTTATAGAATACAGTAGTGTTTATTTTATATGGTTACAAACGTATTACACTAAGAGATTCCTATAATTTTCTAACATTTCCAGGAAAATCAAATTACATACTGACATTGCAAACTCCATCCAGTATTTTAACCTAAAGACCCCATACTAAGAATATTAAAATACACCCCGTGTGTAAAAATAACAATAACGTTTGTCTAAGTCTAATAAAAATCGAAAAACAAAACCAGTACAATGTAGATTTGCATGTATTTCATACCCAAACCAGAAATTCTGTTTCTAATAATCCTGTCACACAAGTGTCTTCGTAATTATTTTATTAAAAATCCAATAATGAAGTAATTACCCTAAATAACAGGTTAATAAGAAGGAACCAAATAAAGCCAGAGATAATAGAAAACAGACAAAAGACAATAAATGATTAATAGTGAGGGTCTTAAAAGATGTTTACAAGCTGGCATTTAAGTCCTAATACATAATTATTTGCAGAACTTTAAGTGACAGACAAAGCAAAGCCTTTCATATTTAAATATATACTGTATCTGGCCTCTTTAAGAATTTCTTAGTCTTGTTTATGGGTTCAATGCTTATATCTGTTTGAACAAACGTTCATCATCACTATATCAATTTATTGACCTTAAAAGCAGGCTTGCCCCCAAAGAAGTCAAGTGATCTGGGCTTGTGATTAAGGACCAGTACGTCCACATTTGAACCAATCAGGTTCTGATCCCTGGTACCAAGGTGTCGGTACTCAACGGTACCTATTTTCAGCACCATTATATTATCATCTAGGCTAATTTAGCTGAAGCAGAAGAAGATAATGATGCTGAATCATCTTGCTGTTTGCAGATGATAATTTGCTAACAAGTGCTGGATGATGTGGCTTAGAAACCAAATCTATTTTTTCCCCCTACCAATCCAATTCATTTTTTTTTTCGCCTTGGGTTTCGTTGTAAAAATGAAAGTATGAAAATGTGCATTACTTTCAAAAATCATCCTCAATCATCTCTTTTTGGATCAGCAGCTCTCTGACATTATGTGTGAAATGCTGTGTTCATGTTGGCCAATTTAAAATCGTCCAGTCTTCTACTTCCTTATTGTTACAATGACGCCTTTGGGAACATAAATATGTTGCCATTTGATTTGATTTGACTTTGGTAGGTCAGACAGTAGCACAGACTGTATTTGGTCAGTACATATAAAACTGTCATATTCAGTACCCATCCATTCTTGTCACAAACTTGTTATGCCTAACAGAGCTGAACGTTATTATAACATTATTATTAGGTTTCCTTTTAAACTGCACTAACTGAATAAGGATTAAAATGCTGATAAAAATCTCTTACTTGTGTTTAAACAGAATTTCTCGAGGTCGGCAAGAAGCAGCCAGCCTTGGATGTTTTGTACGATGTCATCAAGAGTAAAAAACACCGAACATGGCAGAAGATCCATGAACCCATTATGCTCAAGTACCTGGAGCTGTGTGTCGACCTGCGCAAGAGTCACCTGGCCAAAGAGGGTCTCTACCAGTACAAGAACATCTGCCAGCAGGTTGGTTTGAGACAATAAATGCAGCTTCATCTGAACCTGTGTTTTTCAGTTTCTGGTATATGGAAGCATTTTTTTTTTTCCCTTCTCAGGTGAACATCAAGTCTCTGGAAGATGTAGTGCGGGCTTACCTGAAGCTGGCTGAGGAAAAGACTGAGACGGCGAAGGAAGAGTCGCAGCAGATGGTGCTGGACATCGAGGACCTGGATAACATCCAGACTCCAGAGAGGTAAAGATGGTGTCCTTCAAACTTATAAACTAGTTCCTAAACTTTACAGGTGGGTGATTCGGGACTTTGTTTAAAAATGCCCTTTGACGTTTTATCTTCTTAATGCCTTGCTGTCATTGTTACAGTGTCCTGCTGAGTGCCGTGAGTGGAGAGGACACCCAGGATCGTACTGATCGCCTGCTGCTCACTCCTTGGGTCAAGTTCCTGTGGGAGTCTTACCGCCAGTGTCTGGACCTGCTGAGAAACAACTCCAAGGTGGAGCGTCTGTATCATGACATCGCCCAACAAGGTACTACAATGATATTATGTCCTTCCATTACCACTTTCTCTGTGTACTTTCAATAAATCTACATTTAATATCATGTTAAAGTACAAAATATTCTTATGTAAAGTTCAGCAGTTAAGGGTATGTGAAGCCTGATCTTTGGCTGCAGGTTTAAAACCAGCATTCGATTCTTTAGGGCCACAGGACACATTAAATTGCTCTTGCAGCTTTAATGCTTCTCCTTCTTTAAAGGGATCATAGAATGCAAAACCAAGTTTCCATTGTCATAGATGAATAACGGTAGTTCAGTGGGTGAAATAGACGTACAGAGAAGATCAAACCCCATCAACACCTCCTTTCTCTGCAAATCTCACAATTCTAAACTTCCACCATAAACCAGGCGAATCCAAACGAAGCACCGAATTGACGTCAACTCGGGGATGTTGCCTTATTTTGTTTTGCCCTGTACTTTTGTCAGGCCCCGAAGTTATCATACAGACCAGCACACTGGTTCACTGGCCCAAGAATATGAATACAGGTAGATGTAAGACACCAGTTTAGCCTACAGTTGGGGTAAGCTCTACAAAAATTACAAAGCAGGCAGTTTCTCTATTTAAAATGAGCCAAAACCAGGGGTGGACATGCAGCGTTCCAAGCTGCTGACTAGGGGTGTAAATCACATCCATCATGGCGATTCGATTCAGTATCGATTTTCTGACCCAACGATTCGATTATTTTCGATACTCAAGAATACACCACGATTCGATTCGATTAATCGGTTATATTTTTTTTTTATTATTATTTTTTTTACACCTTACAGGTTAAACAAAGTTTCAAGTTTGAAATAAATCAATGAAAGCTGTAATATCATTATGCATTTTCTTTAGAAACAACAGCAAATAACAGAAGTAGAAAAGTTGCATCAAAAAATACTGCAAAAATACTGCACAATATCAGTGTAATGAGTTCAATGCAATACCTTGGCTCCAGAGAAACTGTCCAACATATTTTTTTAGAATGTAATAAATATACTCAGGAAAGAGAGATGTTGCGTAGAGAGTTAGACAGGAATAAAAATAAACTAGATATAAGGAAATTGTTTCAAAGGTCATCTGGGGATGTAGTTTTTGGTAGTATTTTTAATTTTCTAAGAAGAACGGGTATTTTAGGGAGAATATAATAGTTTGTCTGGTCCATACTCCATTCTGGAAGGTGGCGGTAATGCACCTATAAGTTGTTTGCCAACCGCCATTAAAAAAAAGAAGAAGAAGAAGGCTCCAGTGTCGACGTCACCGCCCCCTTGAGAGACGCTCCGCTGCTCCTCTCCCAGATTGTAGCTCACCGCAAACAGTGCAGCAGACAGGAGGCCGGCTTGTTTTGTTTTTATGACCGAAATTGCGGAAAACAACTCGTGAAGGTTGACCCGCTAGAAGAGCGAGGTGTGAGAGAACGCTGGGACCCTTTTTCCAGCTGAATCTCCGCTCTTTTTGCCCCATTGTCCCTCCGTCGTCGGACTAAACTCGCCCCCACTTCCTCGCCGCCTCGGCCGTATCTAGACCCACAGCGTGTAGCACAGACCACGCTTCAATACTGAGCATAATTTAAAAATGTCTGTGTGAAGCTTGCTGCAACAAACTGCTGTAAGAGTATAACCAGGAAGCGCGGTAGGAGGGCAAAATAGGTTTAGCACCACCGCAGCACGGGAGGGAGAATTTCGCCCAGGAGCAAATGGATAAAAATTACGATTATGATAACGATTATTATTTACACCCCTACTGCTGACTGGGTTCATGCGGACGGGGCAGGGAGCAAGCGGGGGGCGGAGCGACCGAACCCAACCTGGTGACGGTAGCCTGGACCCTGGAGCTCACGGCTTGTTTCAAATGCCTGGTGTGTTTCGACTCCGAGCTGCACTGTAGTCCACCAAAATCCCGGACGATTTTGAAATTCTCCCCAGACATTTTTTAGGTATGAAAAGTAGGACATGTCGGGGAAAAGAGGACGTCTGGTCACCCTACCATTTCAACAATCTGATGTTTCTGTGAGTGAGTGCTTGTTGCTATGATGCGTCTTTGTTCAGCAGCTTTACTCGTTGTAAACCAACCAATCAGAGCACAGCTGATCTAAATATTCATGAGCATACCATAAAAGGAAGAAAACCTGTCGTTTCATTCTAGGGCTTTTAACCAGGCTTGCATTAGGGCTCATAGAACAGCAAATATGCCATTTTCAGCCCTACCAATGTTACACACCCTATTCAGAGACCTTAAGGACCAAATGCCCTATAGAATCATATTATGACTCCTTTAATAGGGGAAAATAAGCTGGATATTAGAAATCTGATATTCATTTCTTTTCTGCAGCTTTTAAGTTCTGCCTTCAGTACACCCGCAAAGCAGAATTTCGCAAGTTGTGTGACAACTTGCGCATGCATCTGGGTCAGATCCAGCGGCACCACAACCAGAGCACCGCCATCAACCTGAACAACCCTGAGAGCCAGTCCATGCACCTGGAAACCCGCCTGGTGCAGCTAGACAGCGCTATTAGCATGGAGCTCTGGCAGGTTGGTTCCTCAATATTTTGGTTTTCATTTCAACAAGTAGCCTGATGATCCAGATTCAGTCTGAGGTTTAAACCTACTAGGTTTGACTAAAACGGATGTTTGAAAGGAAATGAATCTGTTTTGTAAATATTTGTGATGACATTTTGAGCTGATTCAACTTGAAATGACAGTTTTTATACATTGGTACTTTATAAAAAAGGCTGCTTTGGTAAAAAATGAATTGAAAGTAGCAGATAAAAAGCATTTTCACAGCTGTCTGAAGAAAAGATGCCTCCAAGATGAGCCTTGGGTAACAGATTGTCTTCTTTGTGTCTTTCTAGGAAGCGTTTAAGGCTGTAGAGGATATCCACGGCCTGTTTGCCCTTTCCAAGAAGCCCCCCAAACCCCAGCTCATGGCCAACTACTACAACAAAGTTTCCACTGTCTTCTGGAAGTCTGGAAATGCCCTCTTCCATGCCTGCACTCTCCACCGTCTCTATCATCTGTCGAGAGAAATGCGTAAGAACCTGACCCAAGATGAGATGCAGAGGTAATTTAATTCACTATACCGTAATTTTCGGATTATAAGCCGCACCTGAATATAAGCCGCAGAAGCTAAATTGCATGATTTGTACACATACAAGCCGCACCTGACTATAAGCCGCAGGTTTTTTATGTTTAATTGCCATATGGTTCGTGCACAGAGAGGATGGTCGGGAAAGTTAACAAATATTTGTTAACATTTCAACACAATTTGCATATTTGCATACATTAACTGTTACAATTTAGTGCAATAGAAGCTCCCATTTATTAACCGGTACGTTTGTTTTCCATAATGAGGGTGTCACACAAACTGTCTTGCGCTCGCATTGACCGTCTTTCTCGCTGTCGTTCTGTCTTGTACCACTCGCGGTAAAAGTCTGCTTCCGGAGGACCTCTGCATTCCTGCACGCGCGGCTATCATACTTGTGTGTTCAAGCAAATGTGACGTCAACATGGTGGATGGTAAAATCCATAGATTTAGGTTAGGGATTCACAATATAATCGGCCCCCTATCAGTATCGGCCTTAAAACCGAATATCGGACAGCGGCCACCCCACCGATATTTAACCCGATATTTGATCAGCTTCTAAGTTTCTAAAGTCTAAAAAAAAAAAAAAAAATACTACTTCTTCTTCCTCAAAAACTTCTTTTTTACAGACTTAAAAACTTCTAAAGACGATGGAAAAAATATTGATACATTAAAATATCACAATATCTTCATATGCTGATATATTGCCATTTAAAAACACCATATCAATCTCTTTTACTAATGAAATATTGCTATACGTCATCGTTATGCTACGAAATCCCCCGAAAATTCACGAAATTTTGCCATATTTTTATATGTTGATATATTGACGCGGCATCGATCTATTTTACTAACAAAATCTCACAAGAATTTGCGAAATATCACGAGTTTGTAACAGAACGATGAAATTTCACGAGATTTTGAAAGTAAAATAGATCGATACCGCGTTTTTAAAAATCAATTTGATATCAGCATATGAAAATATATTTGACTATATTATTTTTCAAAGTGTCAGAAATGGATAACAAAACTGCTATTTTCAATGACTACTTATTTTTGTCCAGCTTTAACATCGGTATCGATATCGGTTATCGGCTGCATGAGTTTTAAAATATCGGCCAAAATCCCAATATCGTACATCCCTAATTTAGGTATTACCCTAGTGGCCGTTAGCTGTAAAAGTCCATTTATTAACCACATTGTTATATAAGCCGCAAGGTCGAAAAATGAGGAAAAAGTTGCGGCTTATAGTCCGAAAATTACGATAATTGAAAGGTGTGTTTAGGCTGGGAGGAGAGAACTTGGAGTGTAAACGTTTCATTTGGATCCTCAGGATGTCCACCAGAGTCCTCCTGGCCACTCTGTCTATCCCCATCACCCCTGAGCGTACGGACATCGCTCGGCTGCTGGACATGGACGGCATCATCGTGGAGAAACACCGCAGGCTGGCCACCCTGCTGGGCCTGCAGTCTCCTCCAACTCGCCAGAGTCTCATCAATGACATGGTACACACTATTTTAGAGCTGACATTTTCTTCTACTTGCTAAAATAAAACCTGAATTTCTTTTTAAAAATGTATGTTTGATTGTTTCCCCTTAAGGTGAGATTTAACCTGCTGCAGTACATCGTTCCCGAGGTGAAGGAGCTTTACAACTGGCTGGAGGTCGACTTCCATCCTCTCAAGCTGAGCGGAAGAGTGACAAAGGTAGATTATTACAACAACAAGCCGTTTCTCATTTCTAAGTGAAGTTAAGAAACACAGTGAGACATTTTCAGCTGTTACATCTGTTCATTCTTATGACTCAGCTTATGAAAACTTATGTGAAATAAATTTGGATGCATGAACTCTGACCTATTGAGGTAAACTGACTCAGTCTGGGTTCCCTGCCTGTTCTTCCAGACTCTTGGACTTACATTCTTTGATAAAATGCTATAATTAATCAGGTCTTGAATAAATAATAGTTAATATTCACTGTAAAGGCAGTCATTTCTTTATTTCCTGTTAGGTGTTGAACTGGGTGAGGGATCAGGCTGAGAAAGAAGCCGATCTGCAGCAGTATGTCCCACACCTGCAGAGTAACACCATCCTTAGACTCCTGCAGCAGGTAAATCCTCTTCCTCTTAACTTTTCCCTAAAAATACTAAAACCTGATGATGTTTCTAACTAGTTTTTGTTTGTGGGGAATTTTAGGTAGCCCAGATCTACCAAAGCATTGAGTTTAGCCGTTTGGCCTCCCTGGTTCCGTTTGTGGACGCCTTCCAGCTGGAGCGCTCCATTGTGGATGCTGCACGCCACTGTGATCTACAGGTAACCATGCAACAAAGTCCATCTGTCTCATGCTTTAAAGTAATTTAGCATAGCTAGTCTTAAACTTTTTGTTAATGTTTCTTCTAGGTTCGAATCGACCACACGTCTCGAACCCTGAGCTTCGGTTCCGACCTGAACTATTCCACCAAAGAGGATTCTCCGGTTGGTCCGTTCCTGCAGAACATGCCGTCTGAGCAGATAAGGAACCAGCTGACCGCCATGTCTGCCTCTTTAGCTAAAGCCATCCAGGTCATCAAACCTGCAACCAACCTGGTGAGTTCCTCACCAGTTAGCTTAACCCGTAGCTACTCCAGGATACAGATGGCACAATGACAAAGCTCTAAATAACAGTCTAAAAATCAAAACAAACACACATAGGTAAGACAAATATAGAAAATGATCGATAATAAAATATAGATTATTACAAGTAACACAATTCATATGTATAAGAATAAGATTACATGAAACGCCTTCCCTCATCTCTATAACGCTTAATCATTACAGCAAAGAGCTTAATTTATCTCTTGTGCCAAAAAAACTCTGCTTATTTCACACCTGAGCTTATTGCAGCCTGCTAGAAACCTTGGCTACATCTTACAATAATATTGGCTTCAGATAAATCATTTACTTACTAATAATCTTTGAGTAAACGCCAAAGGCAATGCAAAACAGTGGAGGTTCATGCATCCCATAAAACTAATGGTTTAGAAGTGGTAAATGTTTCTACATTCATGTACATCTGTTTACATCTTATTAGAACGAGTTAAGTTGACATATTCTACTTTTATAGACGTACCTGCGGGAAAATGAGGGAAACACGTCTGACCAGAGATAATTTCTGAGCTGTGGCTGAGAGCTTTTTATGCCCACAGTGGCGCTAGTGCAACCTCTGCTGGTGGGGATGACCACAGCAAGCTTAACTTTATAGAAAACACATCAGTTTAAAATACAAAAAAAATACAGTCTGTGTCTATATATTTTCTTTCTACCTGCTGCACGTCCTTATGATCTCTTTGCATGGCTGCTGGGGGCACTAATGAATTAGCCAACACATGCATCCATCGTCTGATGCACATATGTGTTGGCTGGTTGGTGCATCAGTTTGTAATTCTTTTAATAATTATTGGCTCCCCCCCCCCCCCTTATTTAAAATATGGACCAGATTGAAATAAAATTGTAACCTTTAAGAACAGGTCAGTCCTACAACCAATCTTGCTTACCATGGAGATTTCAGAATGTAGAGATTGATGCATAGATATAAAACTTGAATCAAAGCTGCCACTTCCATGTGTTTTGGGATTGTACTTACATGGTCCCCTATTGGCAGGATTTAAAGAGTTGTATGGATAAGGTACTGAGGGTGGGTACATGGGGAGAGGGATGAAAAGATTAACAAGAGCAGCTGATAAATATATCTATAGGATTATGTTGGTAGCAAGCAAAAAAGCCGTTACTAGGAAATGGCTGAAGGCAGAAGCTCCTAAACGGGAAGATTGGGTTGAAATGATACATAATATTTATATTATGGAAAGGCTGACTTTTTCCATCAGATTTGAATCTGGAAAATTTAAAAATTATTGGGAAAATTGGCGATGTTTTATTTCACAATGGAGATCAGACTTTGTTTAATAATAGTGTGGGTTTGGGTGCCCTTATAGGGTTACAGACTGTAAATAGTTTGCTTACAGTTCAATACTTGTATAGAATATATGCACAGATTCTGTTGGATGTTGTGTTTGGGGAAAAAAAACAAAAAAAAAAATGTAAAATCGGTATGTATACTTGTATGGGAAAAAATATTTTCAATAAAAAGTGAAAATAAAAATAAAAAACTTGAATCAAAGCTAATATAGTTTTTCTATAAATTTTTTACATAACATGTTGGATTATAGATGCAAAAGGTCAAACACAGACTAGGTTGATGTATTTATTCATCAAATTATAATTTATTTTAATTACAAATACAGGAGTAGCTCATCAATAAATATTTGTCCTTTATTATGTAGAGATTCAAATGTTTATTTGTACCTTTCATTGTTTTTGTTTTTTTGTCCTTTATAATTATTTATATCTGTCACTGGACAGTGAGACATCCTTTATAAGAGGTCCCAGGGTTGGATAAAATAAAATATTCACAAAATATAGTACTGTTTGTGTTTAAAATGGTGATTATAAATGGGACAAAGATGTTTGCTCCTGTTGCTGCCGAAGATGATTAGTCTTTTTAAAAATTTTTATTTGTTTTATTCCCCTCCAGCAAGAGCGTGACGAACATAATCAGCAGGCTATCGCTGCGTACCTGAAAAACGCTCGCAAGGATCACCAGCGCATCCTGGCCCGTAGACAGACCATCGAAGAGCGAAAGGAGCGCCTGGAAAGCTTGAACATCCAGCGAGAGAAGGAGGAGCTGGAGCAGCGAGAGGCTGAGCTGCAGAAGGTCCGCAAGGCCGAGGAGGAGCGTCTGCGGCAGGAGGCCAAAGAGCGGGAGAAGGAGCGCATCATGCAGGAGCACGAACAGATCAAGAAGAAGACGGTCCGCGAACGGCTGGAGCAGATCAAGAAAACTGAACTGGGAGCCAAAGCCTTCAAGGATATCGACATCGAGGTCAAATTCAACCCCATAAAACATCCGGATTTCAGTCGATTTAACTCAATATTTTACAGAAACAATCAGATTTATTAAAGATAACTTTCTACTATTTTACCACAGGACCTGGAGGAGCTGGATCCAGATTTCATCATGGCTAAACAGGTGGAGCAGCTGGAGAAGGAGAAAAAGGAACTTCAGGAGCGTCTAAAGAACCAGGAGAAGAAGGTTGATCTTTAAGCTCCTGTCTAGATCTGTGAAAGTAGATTTACATTGAATAGGATACTAAGGATTATTTCTCCACAGATTGATTACTTTGAGAGGGCAAAACGCCTGGAGGAGATTCCTCTGATCAAGAAAGCTTATGAGGAGCAGCGTGTCAAAGACATGGAGTTGTGGGAGCTCCAAGAGGAGGAGAGGGTATGTAAGCAAATAAAAGTTAATCCCCAGCTGAATGTTGAGAGTCTAAACGGCGCTGCGTTTCTTTTTTTTAGATCAATAACTTGAAGATCGAGCGTGAAAAGGCTCTGGAGCATAAGAAGCGGATGTCCAGGATGATGGAGGACAAGGAGAGTTTCCTGGCTAAAATAACAGCCGCCCGCAGCTTCATCTACGAGGTAGAAGTCTTTGCAGTAGTTGGTGGAGGAATCAGAGGACCCATTTGTTTAAGACTGTATTTAAACGTCTTTATTTGGGCTTTACAGGAGAAATTAAAGACATTCGAGGAGCGTTTGGTTGAGGAGAGGAAAAAGCGCCTGGAAGAAAGGAAGAGGCAGCGCAAGGAAGACCGCCGTAACGCTTTCTACCGCCAGAAGGAGGAGGAGGCTCAGCGCATCCATGAGGAGCAGCTCAAGAAGGGTTAGTTAATAATAATATTACCTGAACTTTATTGATCTCACTTTGGAGAAATTTACCTCCGCATTTAACCCATCCCCATTGGGAGCAGTGGGTTGCCATCTTGGGGCGCCCGGGGAGCGGTTAAGGGTTGTTAGGGACCGAGCCAAAAAAATCAGAGAAGCACAGGGAAGTCATTGATGAAAATATGGTAACAAATTTATTTTTGCAAAAATAAAGTTCAAACTTCAAACAAGTCTGGGCCCATCAAGGAAAACGAATGACGAAAATCAGTGTAATCCAAACCTGACGCAGGAAAAGACCTCCCTAACTGACACACAAGGGAAAACATATATATACACTGGTTGATCAGACCATTTTGAAACAAGAGGGAAACATAAAATACATTTTCCTAAACAAAACTTGGCACCGAAAGACAAGGCATGTTTACCATAAAAGAACCGATGTTCGGTACCCAGTCCTACTCATAAGGGATTGCTTTCTCAAACGACGATGCCAACGCTGATTTATTGAGCGTTTTGATTGTTGTGCAGGGAGAAGCTGACATGGAGGATTTACAACATTCTTCATTTGGAGCGGATGACTTTTTAGGTGCTGGAATAAATTTGTACCGCTACCTTTTTCAGCAATGGTTTTGCGGCACGTCTTACAAATTAGCACCTTTTGTTCGACGTCCTCGGCTTGAAAACCAATTCAGTTTATTTATACAGCGCCAATTCACATCACAAGTCATCTCAAGGCACTTTACAGTTCACTAGATCATCCAGTCAAATTGATTCAAAGGACGCAAACCACTGCCATATATTTGCTCAGCTGAACGACCTGCTGTCACCATATTTAGTTTGCCATTTGCTGTAATGTGCAGAAAATAAAACTGTTTGGAGGAGGGATTTTTGATGCATTCAAAGTGTGTGGGAAAAATAACTCTCTGTGAAATAGATGCAGACGGCTTAATTTTGTCATGCGAATTTGTTATCGATGGTTGCGATAGTCATTTTAACTATTGTGCGTGGGGAAAGGCAAGGCAAGGCAAGGCAAATTTATTTGTATAGCACAATTCAGTACAAAGACAATGCAAAGTGCTTTACATGATTAAAGTACAGGAAGATAAAACAGAATCAAAGCAAGTAGGAAAAAATAAAAAACAAATAAAATAAAATAAAAAATGCAGAAACAAAAAAAGAATATTAAAAACAGTTGGATTAAAGAAAACATGTTTTTGTTGAATTATTTAACTAGAACAGTCGAAGGCAATCCTAAACAAATGTGTTTTTAGTCTTGATTTAAAGGAACTCAGGCTTTCCGCACTTTTACAGTTTTCTGGAAGTTTGTTCCAGATAAGTGGAGCATAGGAACTAAATGCTGCTTCTCCATGTTTAGTTCTGGTTTTAGGTCTGCAGAGCAGGCTGGAGCCAGAAGACCTGAGTGGTCTGGAGGGTTGATAAACTAATAGCAAGTCTGTGATGTATTTAGGTGCTAAGCCATTCAGAGATTTATAGACTAACAGAAGTATTTTAAAGTCTATTCTCTGAGATACAGGGAGCCAGTGTAAGGACTTTAGAACTGGGGTGATGTGCTCTACTTTCTTAGTCTTAGTGAGGACACGGGCAGCCTTGTTCTGGATCAGCTGCAGCTGTCTGATCCACTTGTTAGGCAGACCTGTGAAAACACCGTTGCAGTAATCAATTCGACTAAAAATAAACGCATGGATTAGTTTTTCCAGATCTTGCTGAGACATTAGTCCTTTAATCCTGGAAATGTTCTTCAGGTGATAGAAAGCCGACCTTGTAATTGTCTTTAAATGCTTTTGGAGGTTCAAGTCTGAATCCAGCACTACACCTAGGCTTCGGGCCTGATCAGTGGTTACTAGCTGAAGCGACTGAAGCTGTGTGCTAACTTTAGATCTCTCCTCTATTGGTCCAAAGATTATTACTTCAGTTTTGTTGTTATTCAGTTGAAGAAAATTATGGCACATCCAGGCATTGATTTCTTCTAAGCATTTCCTCAGTGCTTGAATTGGTTCATAGTCACCTGGTGACATGGTGATGTAAAGCTGTGTGTCGTCTGCATAGTTATGGTAGCTGATGTTGTTGTTTTTTATTAACTGAGCAAGAGGGAGCATGTAGATATTGAATAGGAGGGGACCCAGAATGGACCCTTGGGGAACCCCACATGTGATTTTTGTCATCTCTGATGTAAAGTTGCCTACTGACACAAAAAAGTCCCTGTCCTTTAAGTAGGATTTAAACCAGTTGAGAGCTGTACCAGAGAGGCCGACCCAGTTTTCCAGGCGCTCTAACAGGATGGAGTGATCGACAGTATCGAATGCTGCACTGAGGTCCAATAGTACCAGCACTGTGGTTCTTCCGCAGTCTGTATTTATTCGGATGTCATTAAACACCTTGATAAGGGCGGTCTCTGTACTGTGGTGAGCACGGAAACCTGACTGGGACACGTCAAAGCGGCTGGTCATATCTAAGAAAGTGTTTAACTGTTGAAACACTGCTTTTTCAATAATCTTACTGATAAAGGGGAGGTTTGATATGGGCCTGTAGTTCTGGAGTAGTAGTTTGTCTAAACTGTTCTTTTCAGCAGTGGTTTGATATTTGCTGTTTTTAGGGACTGCGGGAAAACACCTGACAGAAGGGACGTGTTTATTATCTGAGTCAAATCAGACGCTATGACAGGCAAAACTTTCTTAAAGAAAGCTGTGGGTAGAACATCAAGGCAGCAGGAGGAGGAACTTAGCTGCTGAATGATTTCCTCTAAGCTTTTATAGTTTATTTGGCTGAATTGGGACATTTGGCCAAGATCAATTCCAGTTGGAGACAACTTTGGTACTGAACTTGATATGGATGTATAAACTGATCCTCTGATCTTTAGGATTTTCTCAGTAAAGAAATTAGCAAATTCATTGCAGGCCCGGGTGGAGTGGAGTTCAGGAGCCACGGACACAGGAGGATTTGTTAGCTTGTCGACTGTGGCAAATAAAGCACAAGTATTATTAACGTTCTTGTTAATGATTTCAGAGAAGAAAGATTCTCTTGCATTTTTCAGTTGTAAGCTATATCTGTAAAGTCTCTCTTTATAGATGTCATAGTGAACCTGGAGTTTCGTCTTTCTCCACCTGCGTTCAGCTTTACGACACTCCCTTTTTTCACTTCTAACTGCTGGAGCACTTCTCCAAGGAGATTTTTTCTTACCGGAAAAGACTTTCACTTTAATTGGAGCAATGCAGCTAATGATGTCTGAGACTTTAGACTGAAAGTTATCAACTAGCTCTTCTACTGAGTTGCACCCCAAGGTTGAAGTAGCAGAGTAAGCTTGAATAAAAGTTTCTGTGGCATTTTCCTTAAAGGTGCGTTTTCTTATGATGTCCCTTTGGCTAAATGAGTCACTGGAAATGATGCCCTCAAAGGTAACAGAAAAGTGATCGGATAGGGCAACATCAGTAACACTGACTTTAGAAATCTTCAGACCTTTAGTGATGATCAAGTCTAAAATATGTCCCTGTTTGTGTGTTGGTTGTTTAACATGTTGAGTTAAACCAAAGTTTCTAAGTGTGTCATACAGTTCTTTTGCACTTCTGTCTTCAGGGTTGTCAACGTGAAAATTAAAGTCTCCCACAATAATTAAACAGTCATAATCAACGCATATCACAGACAGGAGGTCACTAAAATCATTAAAAAAGTTTGACGTGGACTTGGGAGGCCTGTAAACATTTAGAAACATAGTTCGTACCGGGCTCTTTACCTGCAGAGCCAAATGTTCAAAAGAGTCAAATTTTCCCAAAAACACCTTTTTACACTTCAGTGAGTCATTAAACAATGTTGCCACTCCTCCACCTTTCCTTTGCTGTCTGCTCTCGCAAAGAAAATTGTAGTTTGGAGGAGACGACTCCAACAGAATATGTGCTTCATTAAGTCCATGTAACCACGTTTCTGTTAAAAACATAACATCAACATTATTGTCAATAATAAAGTCATTAATTAAAAGGGATTTTCCTGACAGAGATCTAATGTTTAATAAAGCCAGTTTATATGAATTAGTTGTTGATGTTGTCTCTGTAGCAGGCTGCATCTGACAGTTTATGACTCTTAAGTGTCTGTTCCTGTTTGTTCCCATTTTGTTTTTCTTATTTCTGCCACGTATCATCACAGATATTCCATAAGCTCCAGTGTAAGGCCCAAGCTGATGCTGGAAACTGTTATGTCTGATAAGCTTGTTGCCGGGGCCCGGTGTGTATCACGGAGAAGTTATCTGAAGGTCCTGACGTTCCGTGATATGTAGAGGAGGATCTGGGGCTCTGCTGCTTTTAGGATATGCTGGTTTTTTCACATAGCTGCGGCTTTCGGAATGGCTATGTGGAGAGGATGTCAACTGTAGGCCAATCTTGAAAACTTTGTTCATGTTATGAGAAAATTCCAGAAAAGGAACATCTGGGCTTTGTGGGGGAGAGGGGGAATTGGGTGCAGTCTGGACTGGTGTCTGTGGGGATGGAGGTTTTTGATAATTTAAATTTAAAGGGGAGTCCTCTTTTTGTCCTGCTGAGATCTGGGATGAATCCTCCTGTAGTTCTGATGTAGGCTCTTTCTGTGTCATCTTTTTGGCCATCTTTATCTTGGCTTGTTCGGGCTTTACTGGGCTTATCGTTTGTTTAGGCACTGGTTGTACTTTGTTTTGGAACAAAGCTGATGGTGCATGGTTAACAGAATAGAAAATGTTTGATATCAGCCGTTTCGCTCCTGACCTATTTAAAGAGAAACCATCTCTGTTGAACAAATGTCTCCTCTCCCAAAAGATGTCAAAATTGTCTATGAACGTTACAGTTGTTTGTTTGCATGTTGCATCCAGCCATTTGTTTAACATCAGAACTCTGGAAAAAATTTCATCTCCACAATTAATGGGCACGTGAGGGCCGCTGAGAAACACCTTGACATTAAGACCATCAACTAAATTCAGCAGACGAATGTAATCCTCTTTCAGTATTTCTGATTTTCTCAGGGCTGCGTCGCCCAAGGCTTCAGCTTGTATGATGAGTTTTTCCAAGGTCGGGCGTTTTTTCATGATCTCTGGAAGGATGTCTGTTACATTAGACACCAGGCCATAGTTCAAAGGGGTATAAATCAACACCTCTGTGTTTTTCTTGTTACAGAAATGTTTAATCCCACGTATAGATCCACTGCATAATATCAGGGTCCTTGGCCCTGTGGCCTGTTTTTTCTCTGGTAGCTTAGAGTGAAGATTGTTGACATACCTTTGATTGTCTTTGTGATCCTTCTGGGTCTCATCTTGAAGTGGAGCAAATCTGTTTTGTAACGGAATTCCAATATTTCCAGCAGGTTTACTCCTATCATTTGTTGTGAGAACATCCCGTTTTTGTTTCACTTTTCTTGGGATATCTCTCTGTGGTCTCGGCCAGTTTTCTGTGTCTAGGTGGGTTCGTTGATCCTTTGGTCTAGCACCCAGAGTGGTCCAGGGATTCTCCTTTTCCTCTGGGAACTGTTTGTTTGCCGAGTTGCTGGGCTGGTGGTCCCCGTTCGGAATCACAGGCAGCGTTGTTTCATTACCATACGCAGCGTTTACATCATAGTTTACTTCAAGTTGGTGGATTTTCAGCTCCATGACAGCTATTTTCTGTAGAAGCTTGTCAAAGTCGTCTGTGCTGAAGGTAGGCATCCTTTGAATCGGGTGGTTCTTCTCCATATCCACTTCAGATGCCCTGGGACAGCTCAGTCTCTCCAGTTGGTTTGCCCACTACAGAGCCACCGCGACGCTGCAGACTGTGAAAGTCTGCAGTGAAAGTCTGGGAAAGTCAAGATACATCAAGTACATTTGATATATTGCCCACCACTAATGTTGCCGTTAATAGAAGAAGAAGAAACTTACGTTATTGTTTCATGTGTGCGGAATCTGAACATCCCGGAGGAAAGACATCCCCCACTTGTCACAGATGTGGAAAGTCGTGTCAAAAAATTATTAAAAATGGCCCAGTGTATGCCGGGTTTGTCTCATGCAGCAATTCTCTGCCGCTAACGGGTTTCACCTCCATATCCACTAAGAGCTGACCAGGATCAGCAGCGAGCGATGCAATAAAACAGACTCCATTTGTCGTTCTTTCAAAACAGAACGTGAAGAGCGTGAGCGGCTGGAGCAAGAACGGCGTGAGGAGGAGGAGCGCGAGTACCAGGAGCGCCTCCGCAAACTGGAGGAGCAGGAACGTAAGCAGCGCGCTCGTCAGCAGGAGATCGAGGAGCGGATGCGGCAGAAGACCATCAGCCCACAAGAAAAACCACCCCAGGTAACAAAAACTGACCTGGAGAGTTTGTGGAACAGACCCACAACAGAAAGCTTTGGTTCTCATTTAAATACAGTAGCTTCTTTACATTCTTCCCACTTTTTCTGCCCACCCCCCCTCAGACCATCTATTTAAAGCCATGAATAATAATACAGCTAGTTTTGTGACACCAGTGGCTTTTATTTCACAATAGACAGACATTAAATGGTTTGGAAAGGAAAGAAAGACCTGCAGCTAAAGTTTACTGGTGAGGATTTAAATCCAGAACATCACTGTTGTAGGAAAATCTTAAGATATAACAACATAGATATTGATGAATCTGATTAATGTGGACTGTTAAACCCTGAAAAATAAGGCTTGGAATAACTTTTTCTGGTTAATTGGCTTGAATTAGGCAAGGCAAATGTATTTGTATAGCACAACTCAGTACCAAGACAATGCAAAGTGCTCTACATGATTAAAATATAGGAAAATAAAACAGAATCAAAGCAAGTAGGGAAAAAAAATAAATAAAAAAATTGCAGAAACAAAAAGAATATTAAAGCTACAGTGTGTAATAATTACAGGGATATACAGTCAGAAATGTAATATATTATACATAACTATGTCATTTATCATCATCTACGAGCTCAGCCTCTTAACCTTAATATTTGCGTTGCCTTAGAATTCGTTATTTATAATTACATAGGAGCGGGTCTCGCAGCCATGGAGGCAGACATCTTTGCGCTACGGCAGCGCAGAGCCAACAAACTAGCGATTGCGAGATCGCCCATTACGCTCGAAAGTAACTACGGCAAGTTGAGAGAGATGAACTGAGACGGTACTGAACAATAGATGGCAGTATTAAAATTATCTATGTAAACAAACCTCATCACTTGAGAAGGTAGGTGATGCGGACGTCGTGGAAGACATTTTGTCCCTTAATGCTCGCCGTACTGTTGGGGGGGAGATGTTCATGTTGCTGCGGTCTGCAGTCTGGACGTTAGATGTCGCTGAAAATTACACACTGTAGCTTTAAAAACTGTTGGACTTAAGAAAATAACAAAGTTGAACTAATGATGTTTCAGTTGAACTGTTTAACTAGAACAGTGGAAGGCAATCCTAAACAAATGTGTTTTTAGTCTTGATTTAAAGGAACTCAGGCTTTCCGCACTTTTACAGTTTTCTGGAAGTTTGTTCCAGATAAGTGGAGCATAGGAACTAAATGCTGCTTCTCCATGTTTAGTTCTGGTTCTAGGTCTGCAGAGCAGGCTGGAGCCAGAAGACCTGAGTGGTCTGGAGGGTTGATACACTGATAGCAAGTCTGTGATGTATTTAGGTGCTAAGCCATTCAGAGATTATAGACTAACAGAAGAATTTTAAAGTCTATTCTCTGAGATACAGGGAGCCAGTGGAAGGACTTTAGAACTGGGGTGATGTGCTCTACTTTCTTAGTCTTAGTGAGGACACGGGCAGCAGCGTTCTGGATCAGTCTGTCTGATCCACTTTTTAGTTGGTTAGGGTTTCTAATTAGGGCTCTAACAAGCTCATGTTAGCAATAAATTATTCTATCAAATATGCTTAAAAATAATTAAGTTATTGGGCAGAAACCACCTTCTGCGGATGGTTCACCTGTTCCTTAAGATTCTATTATGAATAATAGGAATGCTTAGAGTAAATGCAAATATCTCTTTTTTTTCTTTTTTTATGAGAAAATGAACTGTTTTTAATTTATTTACTTATTTTTGCTTTATAATGCATTATTGTATTTATATAAAACATAATTCGTCTAGATTACTTAAAGGTAAAGATACACAATTATTGTTTTTGGTTGCAAAGCACATAAAATAATACATATTCATCAAAAAGGTAAACTGCTGATTTATGATTAGGGTTGTCTAGGTGCTATGACTTCAAACCCAGGGAAATATTTATTAGGTTTTCTACGATTCCATTGGAATAGTAAAAGGCATAAACATGTTTATTATTCTATAGAAAATCACATCTTTTTCGATCTCAACATGAAATTTCCTTTTTCAACAGAATCCCAGATTCTATTGGTTAAATAAGTCTACAAGTAAATGTAAAATAACTCAGAAAAAAATGCTTTGACAATATTTTAATGTTTCCGGTATTATTTTTTTTATCTGCAAATAATCTACCGATATATAAGATTAAATATTAGAAAAAATGCCAATAACCCTTTTACTTAGTATTGATTCCGTGCCAAATTAGTAATTCATCCGGATACAGCCTATAAGCATCAAGACTTTTCAGAGTATCATGGCTGTCCATCGGCATCCATGTATCAGCAGGGCGGTGGGTGTTAAATCAAACGAAGATCAATGGCCTTGATGAATTTTAGTAATTGAGGTCCTTGAATCGCTTCAGGAATCATTACAGCACTAATTATAATCTGTTGCTGTTGGACAGGATGAGAAAGAGGAGGGAGGCTGGAGAAAGCGAACTGAAGGAGACTCAGAATGGCGTCGTCCAGTTCCTGACAGGTGTGTAGCTTCGCAGATTCATTCTACTCTCCAACTTCAGTTTCTGTCAAGATTTGAGCGGTGACCTTCTTTCCCCTGCAGGGACTGGAGACAGGAAGGCCGAGAGGACAACAAGGAGGAAAAAGAGGGACCCTTCAAGAGAGGGGATGCTCCTCGCAGGGACGGCGATGAAAGAGGACCTCGCAGAGGCTTTGAAGATGACCGAGGTCCTCGCCGTGGAGGCGATGATGACCGTCCTCCTCGCAGAGGGATGGATGATGACCGTCCTCCGCGCAGAGGGTTTGATGACGACAGAGCTCCCAGGAGAGGCGGAGACGACGACCGCGGACCTAGACGAGCCTTCGACGACGACCGTGGACCCAGACGAGCCTTCGACGACGACCGTGGACCCAGACGAGCCTTCGACGACGACCGCGGGCCCAGACGAGGCTTCGACGACGACCGTGGACCTAGACGCGGCTTTGACCGAGGCTTTGATGACGACCGTGCTCCGAGACGTGGCTTTGATGATGACCGTGGACCTAGACGCGGCTTCGATGATGACAGAGGTCCTCGCAGGGGGCTTGATGAGTCAAGGGGTTCCAGACGTGGGGCTGACGACGACTGGGGTCCTAGAAGAGACATGGATGATGGCCCACGCCGTGGAGATGACGCCAAACCATGGAAACCCCTTGGCAGACCCGGTACGTACAAATGCTTTTACCCGTCGGTGTCACGTTTTTATTCATCATAGCTACAAGGTTAACTCCTCTAGGTTCCTCACGCTCACCTGCTATTGTTCTTTACTGTTTGCAAGCTAGCTGTCAGGTACCCTAATGCTAATCAACAGTAAGCGCTAGCAAACATTTAACTTAATGTAGTTTAAGTATTGTTAAAATAAAAAAAGAGGAACATGTAAGGTTTCTGAAAAGCGAGACGAGATATGTCGCTCTGACCTGCTGTCAGGCTATTTCCCACTTTTGATGCATTAACTCAAATGCATTAGATGCGTTCACAAGGGCCGCGGCGCCAAATTAAATGCTGCAGACGCTGTGAGGGGCGGATTCTCTAGGCGTCAATCATGAGACATTTACTTCTCTTCCAAATGCCAGCGAGGCTACGAATGAGAAGGGGAGCCCTCTAGTGGACAGCCGTAACGTTACAACTTGTTAAAAAATCCTTTTAAGGTGATGGTATCAATTAAAGTTATTGTGGAGGATTTTTTTTTTTTTTTAAAGAACTGCCCTCTCCACTTTAAAAAAATACGCTTGCAAGGGTGTGCACGAGCCCATTTCTCCTCGTGCACGCTCTGTTTAAAATGTGCTGTTCTCATAGCTCATACAAGCGTACTGTGTCCACATACAGCAGGGAATATATAGTGAACTTTATAGTGAACTCCGTTAACTCACCATTCAGACTGATCATCACTAGATTTTGCTGTGTTCTTCACGTAACTCCTCCTCCACCGCGCGGTGCCTGCACCATCTTTATTAGTCGCAGCTATTGGGTAGCGATTGCCTATGGCGACAGTGACACCAAATCCCATAATGCTTTGCTGTTCAACAGCATTCTGGGATATATCTGCCTCTTCTGAGGCCTTTCTTTTCTTATACACTTCATAGACACTTTTCGCTTACGACCTTCGGCCATTTTCAAAGAACCGCTTTGAGAAAGGTGAGCTTCAATGACTGTCTGAAACCGTAGCTCACCGCAGATATACACCTGAAAGTGAGCATGTGCAGAAAGCTATAGCTAACGGGACGAGCACGCAGGACGGCCTTACGTAAACATATCACCAGAATGATTGACAGTTAGGAGGACCACTTATTTAAATATTAATAGTGCTCTGCTTTCTAATAGTGTATATGAGAGCTTTCTAATAGTTTATATGAGAGCTTTCTAATAGTGTATATGAGAGCGTTCTAGTAGTGTATATGAGAGCTTTCTAATAGTTTATATGAGAGCTTTCTAATAGTGTATATGAGAGCGTTCTAGTAGTGTATATGAGAGCTTTCTAATAGTGTATATGAGAGCGTTCTAGTAGTGTATATGAGAGCTTTCTAATAGTGTATATGAGAGCGTTCTAGTAGTGTATATGAGAGCGTTCTAGTAGTGTATATGAGAGCTTTCTAATAGTGTATATGAGAGCGTTCTAATAGTGTATATGAGAGCGTTCTAATAGTGTATATGAGAGCTTTCTAGTAGTGTATATGAGAGCTTTCTAATAGTGTATATGAGAGCTTTCTAGTAGTGTATATGAGAGCGTTCTAATAGTGTATATGAGAGCGTTCTAATAGTGTATATGAGAGCTTTCTAGTAGTGTATATGAGTGCTTTCTAATAGTGTATATGAGAGCGTTCTAATAGTTTATATGAGAGCTTTCTAATAGTGTATATGAGAGCGTTCTAGTAGTGTATATGAGAGCTTTCTAATAGTGTATATGAGAGCGTTCTAATAGTGTATATGAGAGCGTTCTAATAGTGTATATGAGAGCTTTCTAGTAGTGTATATGAGAGCTTTCTAATAGTGTATATGAGAGCTTTCTAGTAGTGTATATGAGAGCGTTCTAATAGTGTATATGAGAGCTTTCTAATAGTGTATATGAGAGCGTTCTAATAGTGTATATGAGAGCGTTCTAATAGTGTATATGAGAGCTTTCTAGTAGTGTATATGAGTGCTTTCTAATAGTGTATATGAGAGCTTTCTAATAGTGTATATGAGAGCGTTCTAATAGTTTATATGAGAGCTTTCTAATAGTGTATATGAGAGCGTTCTAGTAGTGTATATGAGAGCTTTCTAATAGTGTATATGAGAACGTTCTAATAGTGTATATGAGAGCGTTCTAATAGTGTATATGAGAGCTTTCTAGTAGTGTATATGAGAGCTTTCTAATAGTGTATATGAGAGCTTTCTAGTAGTGTATATGAGAGCGTTCTAATAGTGTATATGAGAGCTTTCTAATAGTGTATATGAGAGCGTTCTAATAGTGTATATGAGAGCGTTCTAATAGTGTATATGAGAGCTTTCTAGTAGTGTATATGAGTGCTTTCTAATAGTGTATATGAGAGCTTTCTAATAGTGTATATGAGTGCTTTCTAATAGTGTATATGAGAGCTTTCTAATAGTGTATATGAGTGCTTTCTAATAGTGTATATGAGAGCTTTCTAATAGTGTATATGAGTGCTTTCTAATAGTGTATATGAGAGCTTTCTAATAGTGTATATGAGAGCGTTCTAATAGTGTATATGAGAGCTTTCTAATAGTGTATATGAGTGCTTTCTAATAGTGTATATGAGAGCTTTCTAATAGTGTATATGAGAGCTTTCTAATAGTGTATATGAGAGCTTTCTAATAGTGTATATGAGAGCTTTCTAATAGTGTATATGAGAGCGTTCTAATAGTGTATATGAGAGCTTTCTAATAGTGTATATGAGAGCTTTCTAATAGTGTATATGAGAGCTTTCTAGTAGTGTATATGAGAGCTTTCTAATAGTGTATATGAGAGCGTTCTAGTAGTGTATATGAGAGCTTTTTAATAGTGTATATGAAAGGTAAAGCTTTTCACCAGTTTATATGAACAGTTCTCACTACTTTGTATGAGAGCTTTTGAGTAGATTATATAAGAGGTAAATGTTTTCACTAGTTTATGTGAGAGCTTTTTACTAGTGTTTGTGGGAGGTTTTCAGTATATTATATGGAAGAGTGTAATTTAATATGTGTATATGCAAGTTAATTCTGATTTATGTCCCTGGGGGCACCTCATAGGGGGGGGGGGGATTCAGCGTGTGTGAGCTGTGATTGACACTCCATCAGACGCTCCTCTGGCTGTGATTGGTTGTTTTGACTCGTCCCGAATTATTCTTTCCAGATTGAAATACAGGCAGTAGGCGGTACCAGTTGAAGCAGTTTTTTTCACAGGTTACATATCACATGTACTGCTGTCTGGGCATAGGGACAGTTTTAGCCAATATGACAAAAAAGTGATTTTTTTAAACTTACAGACTTCAGCATTAAAGATCATCCTCTATAGCTTTAATAGAATGGAGCAAATTTGCAATCTAATATAAAACAATTTCAACAATCCAAAGGTAATGTTTTGTTTACATCCCTCGCTCTGTAGGCATATTGTTTTTGATTGTAGCCATGACCTTTAATCTCTTAATGCAATTAAATCTTATCCTAAAGGAATGCTGAAGATTTATACTGTGATAAATTCTGGATATCAAATAATTTTTTAAGTGTTGATAGCGTTTTTTTTAATGATTTATGTCTGGGGGCTTGTAATATTACAGGATAATTATCGGAACAACAATTATAAATTTTGTAGTAAAAAAAAAAAAAAAAAAAGATGTGATAAGTTGTTTCAGAGCGATCCTTTGGTTCCAGGTGGCTGGCGTGAGCGGGAGAAGGCCCGAGAGGAGAGCTGGGGTCCTCCCCGCGGCGGCGGCCAAGATGATGAAGAGGAAGGCGATGGAGATGAAAGGCCATCTGATCGCTTCAGAGACCGTCGGCCACAGAGGTGGGGAAGGAATAGGCGTCTGAAGAGCAGCAGACGCTCCTACAGAGAAAGTCGTCTCTGTTTATTTTACTCAGATTTTAAACTGTTTGCAGAGAGGAGAACATCTGGAGAAGAGGAGGCACAGAGGAAGGAAGCTGGAGGGAATCTCGCAAAGAAGACGCTGACCGTGATGATCGTCGTAGCGACCGGAGGGAGCGAGACAGACGAGATGATCGCGATAACAAACCACCTAGGGATACTGATGAAGGTGAGGAAAACTTGGAGATATGAATTTAGTTTCAATTCAGTTTATTTCTATAGCGCCAATTCACAACACGTCATCTCAAGGCACTCATCCAGTCAGATTGATTCAAAGTTTGATATCTAAGGAGAACCAGTTGATTGCATCGACTCATTGACTCTTCAGCAATCCCACACACTAAGCATGCTTGTAGCGACAGTGGAGAGGAAAAACTTCCTTTAACAGGGAGAAACCTCCAGAAGAACCAGGCTCAGCTCAAACCTGAAAAGCATAACTTTTAAAATCTACTGCTAATGCATCTCACATTCTAATATCAGAAACCTCAATATGTCAGCTAAAAAAAACCACAGACTTTGTTTTTAGAACTAATACATTTACCATTCTAAGTATTTTATAGCATTTTTCCAGTAAAAAGGGACTAAATAAATAAGTCGCTGGGAAGGCTGGGGTTTACCCTCCACCATGAAGGGATGCATCAAAGATCAGGGGATCTATTAAATCACATCATTGGAAAGTTTAGTGGAAGGAGAAAAGTTTGATATAAAAATTAGTAGGATTTTGAAGCAAATTGTCACAAGTTGCCTGAATCAGGTCCAGTATGAAGTTTTCACGGTTGAGGACCATTTAATGTGCTGATGTAGATCGACTGGGTCAGATGGAGTCAAAATTACTTGATTTAAATCTAGAAATAAACACTTAAAGTATAAAACTATTTAGTTGATCCGTGAGTTTTTCTATGATCTAGTTTATTGAGATGAAATGTCATCTATAGCCAGCAGAGGTCACTGTTTCCATGTGTGATTACTGCTACTGGGGGAGGGGGGCTCTCTGTGCCTCAACTTGTTTTCAAGATGTATTTAATATTTTGTGTTTTTTGACTTACTCCCTAACCATGCAGTCGCATCTGATGCCCCAGGCAGTACATGGCGCCGCGGCGGCGGCGAAGAAAGACGAGAGGAACGGGAGCGTCCCAGAGAGCGGGAGCGCGAAGCTGAAGGGGAGAAGGCCTGGCGCACCGACAAGGAAAACCCTCGCCGCACCAAGAACGAGACGGACGACGATGGTTGGACCACCGTCAGGCGCTAACATCTACAACCATGTGTCCAAGCGCTCCTGGCCAACATAATCCAAATATTAAACCATAAGAATAATAATCATCCAGCAGGTCAAGGTTTGGATTAACGATCCTCGCCTCTAATACTGGATGAAATACTTGTAGGCGGATTTATTTTCTTTATTTTGTCTTCCTGTGATCATTCAGACAGGTTCCATTTCCTCATGATCTTTTGTGCACAGCGGCCTCATAACAAACAATAGTCTATAAACGTGTTATTAGTGCTTCAGACGCTCCTGGGCTGATGCTCAATTAAAACCGTTTCACCAACTGCCTCTTAACTCTACATGTTCACACTCAGATTAACATCTAGCAACAGGAGCAGTTCTTTTTCTGACTTCTGCTCCTCATGTCGAAGGAGGTGCTTCTTAATCTGCTGGTGGATTTTACATCTTAATTTGCATGCTTCAGAAATTCAGATTATCTTAATATCCAGTGTGTGCTGCTGCAATCAGTGGTTTCGTACCACTTTGCATGTATGCATAGAAATCCTAGAAATAATAAAGATGTTTGCTCACTACTTGTTTGGTCATTCTTTCTTTTTTAGTGTTTTTAATCCCTAGAATGGTTTTAAAAATAACTTTAATCTGTTGCTTCGCCTGTTAAAACTGAATTTATTAATCCAGCTGGAGAAAAGAAAACTTTCCCTCAGAAATATTAAATATTTCTATCATCATAATTAGTTACTTTGCACAACAAAAGATTAAATAAACCAGCTTTTTGGGGAAAATATATATCCGCAAAATAATAAAGCACTGCTCAGTCAGTATTATTTATGCTATTTTCATGGGTGTCTATAAAAAAGAAAATGGTTAGAAATGTACAATTTTTAGGTATTTTCTTTAAGTGGGAATAAGAATCCCAATAAGCTTTTACGCTTTTTAAGTTATTTGCACATTCAGATGTCGAGAAAACCTGTTGGAATTTTGATCCATACATAATTGTCATAAGAAAAGAATATTTTGTTAAAGTGGAATATGTAACAGTCCATAAAGGTAAGCAGTTTATAGATTTAATCCAAATGGAGTGAAAAATTAAATTTTTTCTTAAGTGATTTTATTTGGCTTTAAGGTAATGGAAACCAAAATCCAGAGTCAAAATTAGATTTAAAAAAAGTATGTTTATTCCTTCGCAATCAATACGTGGTTCTTTGGATCAATGCGCCATCGGCCTGTTGCATTGTGAAGAAGTAATGTAAACCCAGATTGCTTCGATAGCTGCCTTCAGCTCGTCCGCCTCGTTGGTTCTGGTGTCTCGTCTTCCCAACGGCTCATAGATCCGTTTGGTTCGGGTCAGAGGATCTTACCGGCCAATCAAGAACAGAAACACTGTGGTCACTGAAGCAGCCTCGGGCATTCGGAAAATAAAATCATCCCTGTACAGCTTCGCAACGGAGGTGAGAATGAAGCGCATCAGAGGTTCCTGGATCTAATGGCACTCCAACCCTTCGCAAAAAGTAGTTTATTCCAGTATACTCTAAGTGCACTAATTTCATACTTCAAATCAGGCAGTGCACTTAGAGTTTACTTATTCTAAACTATATTTCATATACTTAACAATAGTATAGTCAAGTGTACTTGATACTATTTAGTGTTTACCAAAGTATACTTTAGTAAACTTAAATTGTTCCAATTTAGTTCGAAGAAGTATTACTTTAGTAATACTTCAAGTACACTAAAAGTACATTGTTTGGTATACTTTCTAAACTTATACTTAAGTATTTTTAATAGAATTTACTTCAAGTATACTACTTTTTGCTAAGGGAAACCATCACTACCTGAGGAAACATGGATCCAGACTCTCAAACCTAGATTTCCAAATGAAATGCAAAATTGACTTTCATCTGGAAGCAGGTAGTTGAACCATTAAACACGTATCTGGTTTCTTCTGACGATATTGTTCAGACGTGACATTTTAAACCATTGTATCCACTTGTGCTCTGAGAAGGAAAACCTAAGGATATCTAAGGAAAACCAGTTGATTGCATTGACTCTTCAGCAATCCCTCACACAAAGCTTGCTTGTAGCGACAGTGGAAAGGAAAAACTCACTATTAACAGGGAGAAACCTCCAGAAGAACCAGGCTCAGCTCGATCACAGATGGCTGAAAACGATTTTCTGAACCTGAAAAGCACAACTTTTAAAATCTACTGCTAATGCATCTCACATTCTAATATCAGAAACCTCAATATGTCAGCTAAAAAAAAACACACTTTGTTTTTAGAACTAATACATTTACCATTCTAAGTATTTTATAGCATTTTTCCAGTAAAAAGGGACTAAATAAATAAGTCGCTGGGAAGGCTGGGGTTTACCCTCCACCATGAAGGGATGCATCAAAGATCAGGGGATCTATTAAAGCACATCATTGGAAAGTTTAGTGGAAGGAGAAAAGTTTGATAGAAAAATTGGTAGGATTTTGAAGCAAATTGTCACAAGTTGCCTGAATCAGGTCCAGTATGAAGTTTTCACGGTTGGGGACCATTTAATGTGCTGATGTAGATCGACTGGGTCAGATGGAGTCAAAATTGCTTGATTTAAATCTAGAAATAAACACTTAAGTATAAAACTATTTAGTTGATCCGTGAGTTTTTCTATGATCTAGTTTATTGAGATGAAATGTCATCTATAGCCAGCAGAGGTCACTGTTTCCATGTGTGATTACTGCTACTGAGGGAGGGGGGGACACTCTGTGCCTCAACTTGTTTTCAAGATGTATTTAATATTTAGTGTTTTTTCACTTACTCCCTAACCATGCAGTCGCATCTGATGCCTCAGGCAGTACATGGCGCGGCGGCGGCGAAGAAAGACGAGAGGAACGGGAGCGTCCCGTTCCAAGGTGATGGGTTAAATGCAGAGAGATATTTCTCCAATGTGAGAGCAATAAATTTCAATTATTGTATTTCTCTGCGTCATGACTTGATGCTGCGACACCGGCCTCAGTCCACTCCTTGAGAAACTCCTCCTTGCACTTTCTCTTGCCAGACTTCTTTCTTCCACTTAATTTTCTGATATTTTGTTGGATATAAAGCTCCATAAACAACTAGCTTCTTTAGCAACCACCTGTCGCAGCATAACCTCCATTGAATAGTGTCATTAACTGTCCTCTGTCCGGTCATCACTCTGACCCAGAGCACTGCGGGTGTTCATGCATTGAACTTTATTGATTTCACATTGGAGAAATTTACTTCTGCATTTAACTTATCCCCTTGGGGAGCAGCGGGCTGCCATCGTGGGGTGCCCAGGGAGCTAACAGACCCAGAGGGGCAGTCTTCCAAGCTCTATGCCCTAACCATTAGGGCCGCCACTCACCTTATAAGGGTGTTCACAGATTTAGAGTATGGCACCATGAATTCCCAATAATTAAGTATTTCTATGTTCTTGAGTTATATGTGTCCAATAAAAACATGCACCTTCAGGCTTTTGTTACAGTAAAAATCCTCGAACTCGAAGACTTTGATTCACAAGTTTTATTAGTGCTGAAAGTGGAGAAATTCTGGTTCCAGTAGCTTATATAGAGGACAAAGAGTTAAAGCAAGATGCCATTAAAGATAAAAATAAGACAGACAATATAAAAAGAGTGTATATTAGTACAAAAAAGCATAAAAAAAGAAAAAAGTAATGTCCTGAAATGTTTCCCTTAGATATTAAAATATCTGCACAATACAGAGGTAGTAGTTAACTTGGGTTATTGCACTTGCACTGCAGAGATTTACTGATCATATAAATAAGTGAAAATTACACAAGGTACACAGTAGTTATATGTGTTATTGCACAATGAGAGAGAAGAATAATGCACACGAGTGACATTAGGTAATGTTTTGCATAAGATGTCCAAGGGTGCTGACCCTTGACCCTCTTCCTATCACCTCCTTCTTCTTCCAAGTGAGGAGTTGTACTGCTTGATGTCTTGGGGAACAAAGGAGCTCAGCAGTCTGTTGGTCCTGCATTTGGGGAGGAGATTTTATACATTAAAATCTAAGAAGTTGAATTCCGTTTAAAAGCTTGGATGTGTTTGTTTGTTTGTTTGATGGGATATTCACCTTAAAAATGACCATTGTGGTGTTTTTGTGCTTTAAAAAACATATCTAAATTACTGAAATGGGAAACTGATGCAGGAATGAACACCTAGTGAAATCTGGTCAGGTTTTCTTAACTTAAACAAAACAAATAGAGGAATATTAATAAAAAAATAATATTTTCTTTCCCTTTTTCTTGTTTCAAATCTTCTTCCAAAACCGCAACAGCAACTAAATCATCAGATTCAGGGTTCAGATCCAGCTTTGTTTTTTTAGGTGTTTGCATCTGCTTTACCCTTTATGGCCAGCAGAGGTCAGTAAAACCCTGTAGGAAGCACCATTCATGCTCCTCCATGTTCAGCAGTCAACTGGCTGCATGTAAAACTTTAGGGAAACATCATGAGGCTGGCTGACGTTCATGATGGGGGAGTAACTTCAAAACCAGAGATATGCTGCTGCTGGAAATATGTATAAAAATCTCTGACAACAAATTATTATAATTACCTGTTACAGGGAGTAATTCGCTACCATTTAGAAATAAAACGAAGGATTATACTAAAAATACGGAAATTATATAGAAATGTTTTTTTTTTAACTATAAAACGTCACAATGCAAATCTCTAAATTTAAATAATTTAAATAAGCGCGCAAAAGAAAAAAAAATCATTTTTTTAAATGGATTTAAATTTTAAAATCAGGAGTATATCTTTGGTACATTTTTACTGTATTTAAAGCGCTAAGAAGTATTTTTTTTATTATGATTATTTTTAAAGCTGTTTTTTATTCCCCGGAAACCAAAGAAAATGGGAAAAATAAGAAATAAAAATTTCCAATTGCAATCTTATAAGACAGTAAAAAAAAACTGTCTAATAATTTGAGTTGTGTTTTTTTTTTACTACAAGTGCTACTAATAATTATTATAATAATTTGTTTTTGTCATTTATTAGTATTATTTGTACTAAAGCTTTTAAAAAATAAAAGTAAATTGGCAGGAGGTTTGCTCAGCTGCCTCAGTTTCTCTGAAGGCACGGTGTGCGGCCGTGGCCCCGCATGCCAACTGATCCACGCACAGGTCGGCTTCAGAAAAACACCTGAGCCTTTTGTTCGTCTTTATCCTGAGACATAACCCCGCTCACATAGAAACACTCGCTTTTTCTTAAAGAAAAAAAAAGATGTAGGCCTACTACACAGCTTGGATTCATAAGACATGTTTTTTTTTATTTATTTATTTTGTGCTGAAGCTTTGTTGAAGAAGAAAAAAAAATGTTTTTTTTTTATGTATATACATGTATCCAATCTAAGGAGGAAAAAAAGAATAAATGGAACAAGAATTAAAGCAAACAGTGGAGAAATATGTTCCTGATCTAGAAAACATAGTTTAATAGAAGCGAGCAGTTGTGCTTTATTAAAACCAATTAATGCTGTCAGAGCAGAGCGCTCCCTCTCCCTCCTAAAATCAGTTTCTGAGCCTCCCATGCAAACAAGGAGCAAACCTGCAGCTC